TGAAGGACATGCTTGAGCCAGGCCCGCATGCCAAGCCTCCCTTGAGTATCGGTAGCGCAGTGCCGGTCCAACACTGTCCCCATGAGCAAGTGTGCGCTCATGAGAAACCCTGGAAGCCATGCTAGCCGTTAACCAGGGCCGCCCCGCAAGGGGATGAAGGTCTAGGAGTGCCAAGGTTAAGCACCCAAGGAGGTTGACCACCCCTCCTCAAAGAGTACGTTAAGCTTTTGGTGGTTTGCCTAAAGATGACATCAGTTCTCCTAAAAATCTTACAGGCGAAAATGACGGGCATGTCCCTAACGTAAGCCTACCAAGCGTAGGCAAGGCTAAGCCTGCCAAGCGTAAGCAAGGCTAAGCCTGTGCTGAACCGTCACAATATGCCATATGCCACATTGCTCATGAGATTTTGAACTAACGAGACAAAAAGTTTAGTTAATAATCTCCGTTAAAATTATATTTTGCTTTTTGGTTTTGTAATAGAAACTCCACGTTGGTTCAGGTTCTTTCTTATCCGATGCTTGACCAAACCAAAGAGGGAGGTTGAGGAACTTCTCTGCAAATAGGAAAAGTGAGAGACAAGAGATATAGAGAAGAATGAGAAGGAAAATTGAGAAGGTTTCTGGGTGTCCTTCATCTTCCTCATTACCAAACACTACAAGAAAGTTCCTTTGTTGTTGTCAACAGATTTTCTTCTCGAATCACCTATACTCTAGAAAATCTGCCCTCTCAGGATCATTGTGGTGTTCTTCTCAATGACTTTGCTCTGCCCTCTTGGTGCGAGAAAASTGCGCCTCATTGTGCCATGTACACACATGCATGGTAGTAAGCCTCTATACTCTCCTCTTTATTTCTAAGGAGTGTAAATAAGCTATTATTTAAAAATTCAAAACAAGTCTTGTAATTTTCTAATGTGGGACAAGTTAAAAGCTAGTTTTAGTAAGAGAAAAAACTATTTTCAAGACATGTGTGCAAATGTATTTTTTATGTAATTGATCAATCAAACCCCATTGGATTTAATCTCTAATGAGATTAAAATCCAACATGTACAACTTAATCCACGAGATGAATTGATTCCATCTATTCCAAATAGAATCTGAAATGCAAAACATGCGTGCTTTCTCTACGGAAGGGAAAGAGAGGAAAGTGAGATGAGTGGGTGGAAGATATAGACGAGAACAAAATGGAGGCTTTTCCCCTCAAAATTATGGTTCCTTAAAAAATCTAAAAGTAATTTAACGGAACACAGGGCCACCTTTAATGATATGACGTGGCATCATGCTACGCATTTTGGACAGCAAATTCCTAAGGCTGTCAATGGGTCGGGTCTGAAAAGACGGACCCAATGGATCTGAAACGATTGGGCTGGTTCTGGTTCCAGGAACTGGAACTGACAGGTCAGTGCTGGATCTTGACCAGTTTCGAACCAATTCAGACTCGATTGTTTCAATAATTGATCGGTTCGGTTCTGGGTCTAAAAATTACAGATCCTATCGGGTCCAGTTTGGTTTCACCTCCTCAATATTTCATGTCAGGTCGATTCCAATTCTAACTGGACCTGACCCAAACCCGACTCATTGACAGACCTACAAATTCCTACTGATAGTAGGCAGCTGAAGTTTGCACATAGAGAGGAACCAAATTCATAAATAGGGATATTCTAGTCAAGAAAAATCTACAATGCTCATGTATGGTTGTATTTAAAATGGGAGTTGATACATTAAATATAGGACATAATGAGAGGAAAGAGAATGAATTTAATTAAAGCAATAATTAAAATTAGATTTTTTTTCTTGAGTTCGAGTATGATATGGAAAAGATATGATATCTGAAAATACAATTGTCAAAATTTCTTTATTTTAAAAATTCCAATTTCGTCTTGCCTGTAAGCATAAAATGTGATTAGGGTTGGATCCGTTATTGTGAAGGCTAGCTCTTTTTGCTTCAATTTTACTAAAATAAGCCCGTGCATCGCACGGGTCCCCACTAATGTATTTATATAAGAGATATGTTTGGGGCTAATAGCTAGTTTCTTATGTGATGTACACCCAACTGCAGGTCCTAATATTCTCAGTTAACATACGTAATAAGATATTTGAGCCCAGCGGTCTGTAGCTACCAGCACCTTCCCTCTTCATTGTTAAAAGTCCTCGTTACTGGGGAAAGAATTTCTAAGGAGTCTTCTTTTTTTTCTCACTACGTTATAAATACTCCTTATTCATCGTTTGGTCAGTCTTTGGTTTGAAAAACAATGAGACTGAAAAGAAAAAGGGAAAGGAAGGAAAGAGAAATAGAATAGTTTTCCCCTCTGTTGTTTGGTTACCATATGGTAAATGTTGGAAAATTGATTTTCCATTGCTAGGCCAGTATGTCTTCCAAAATTGCATTGACATTAAACTACCATCAAGCTAGCTGAAAACAAAAAGATAAAGCATCAACCTTGCCCATTTTAGTAACGGCCTTCGTATTACGGTATTAGTAAAAGTGTTGTCATAGTGGTGACTGGTGAGTGGTAATTGTCTAATTTTTACCATAATATTACAAACAAACAAAAATGATCTTTCTCTTACCTGAATACATTCTGAGAATTTTATCTTCTTAGAATAGATATAACCCAGTTTTCAGCCAGTCTTTTTTATTTTGGAAGCAAATAAAACTTTCCATTAAGGTGGCCATAGCCATGGAAAGGATACAAAGGAAAATCAAGCCTTCAACAAAAAACAACAAAAGTAACAGAACTAAACGAAAGACCGAGATAACAGAGGCAGAAACCAGAACCCAAAACAGGGAAACTCAAAGAAACTAAACAACCACAAACCAAGACAAATCAGCTCGCACCAATGGCTCTAACCAATCAGGGCATACATTGACAAAAACACCCTAATCTGAAAGACCTCTTCGAGCCAACGCATGAGCAACACCATTGCTTGATCTTCTAATGTAAAAGAAAGACACTGTAAGGTAAGGTTCTTCACCAATTCTGCAATATCTCTAGAAAGAAAGCAAGCTTCAGCACAAACATCAACTTTCCCAGCTTTTGCACTCTTGATCAAACTAAGGCAGTCTGATTCCACAGGAGATAGCCAGCTTCAACCCACACTTCACTGCCATAACCTCAGTATTGGACCTCACTTTCTCTCCAAACAAATATGGATTTTCCTCTAAATATTCAGATTAATAGTCTATAGGTGACAATAATTTAATAATAATGTGTTACCAGAAAAACTAAATTAATTATCACAATTAGAGTAATAAATATTTTCATGGTTTTGTACTTTTGTTAATACCTATTTTCCTCTGATAAGTTGACTGTTCTTCTCTGGAAAAATGAAGTTGACTATTGAATTGCCATCTAGTATGAGAAAATCTTAGAAATATTGAATCCTCAAAGTTGAAAAACCTCCCTCTACATCTAAGAATCCATAATAGACACTGGGCCTATTTTGATCAGATACAGATCAATATTGGACCTGATAATCGGATGATAGTTGAAAAACAACCAATAGACTGTTTCCTATTATTGTCTGGATAAAGTAACCAAAAACACAATTCAGATGGTTATAATTATCAGACCACATTAATTGTCAACCTAGGATATATCCTGGTGAGAACTGCATGAAGGACTCATCATCAGCAAGAGAAGTTTAAGCCACTGGTTTGAACAAATAAAAAAGGCAGATTCCATGCAGATGGCCTTCACTATCTTTCCTCACATCCTACCCCAAAAAATAAATTTCATATTTCAACACCCTGTTATGGCACCCAGATACAATTCTTGAGGTACATTTTCCACAGGAGAGGTCAACTCAAAACAAACATTTTTACAGTATACAGACACCTATTTATGAACTTACCGCATTATTTTGGGGAGAGACAGATGTACACAGCCTTACTCCTGCACATACAAAGAGGTTGTTTCTAAGTGAGGTTTATAAAGCTATTTCCACAGCTTTATAAAATCTATGGGCATTTTCCTAACAAGTGAGGTTTAATGAGGTTTTGGCTTCCATCACAAATATGGGATCACAGAACTTAATGGGTCACATTGCTGGTTTTCATTACATATATAAGCAATTTGTCTCTTTGCAAATATTTTTTTCATTAATTATTGAAGAAAAAACTTTTCAAGATTCTTAAAAGATTGTAGCAAATCCATTTTACCTACAAGAAAGTCTGAAAATGCCCTGCTTAATAATATGAATTTTATTTAACTTGTTGACTCTGTTTTAAAGGTGTTGCAAACTTGCATGTATATATAAACATAGGAAATTTACTTAAAACTTCCTCTCAGCTTATCTGATAATAACTAAAAAATAAAAACTGTAATATCCCTCCCAAGACCCAGATAGTTGGAACCATCATTGGGGTAATAACCCTTTTTCCCCTTCTGTCAGTACAGTAAAAAAAACGTTCACTTCTTCTATAAACCGGAAGAGGATGTAGAATTACTTATATTGCAATTCAACCTTAAGGGAAAGCCATTGAAAAACCTCTCATAGGGTTATAATCCAGGGAAACCCAGAGAGTCCTCAAAAGAACTAAAATACCAAAAATGCAAAATTTTCTTTAGACGACAGAACAACTCACTTTAATTCTTGAATGGCATCTAAAAAGGCCATTACCCAATGTTGGTCCCAGCTATCTTGGGTCAGTCATGGGAGGGGCAGACTGGATACATTCCTAAACTTTGGCAATTTTTTTCCTTTTTGCACAAAGTGGCCGCTCTCAGACTTGAATAGCATCTATTAGTAAGAAAATGAAACCTGATCATCTAACTTTTAAGGCCTAAGAAATTTATCTAAGTCATTCATATAGCATGATTTAAGTAAGAAAAATAATAGAAATGACTAATAATCATGGTGCAGGCATGTCATTGGGCCATCAAGTCCCAACTCCCAAGCCAAACCATGGAACTCTCAAGTGCTGTCAGTTGCGTCCATCATCACAGCATATTCTTGCAATTGACAATAAGACATGGAACTCACAAGTGCTTTTAGTTGTGTTGCTAGTTTTTCTATGTTGAACTCAAAATATGGTCCCTCTAAAGTACATACGTTTCCATTGTGGAATCCAAATTCCAATGCACTTTAGATGAGCAAAAGAACTCCAAATAACAAAGATTCACAATCCAGAATAACATCTTTGCATCCATTCACTCAAACCCTCAACCCTCTACCCAAGAAAAGAGTTTTAATCATTTGCATACACCAAATACTATACATAGTGGCAAACAACAAACTAGATAAACAAACATCAGAACCAATAATTTTAGTCAATAAACAAGTTCAACAACCCAACAATGTAGGACCAGATCAGTTTTAGTCCTTAGAGAATGTTGAATGGTCTTCTTGGATAAGAATTTTATGGTTGTTGATGGCTGTAATGGCTTCTTGAAGGAATAAGAGAGAAAATAGGGAGAGAAAGAAGAGAGAAAATACCTGGAGTCACTCACAGGGTGCGTAGAATCACTCTAAGGCATGGGGATCACTCACCATAACTAGCATAAGCTGAAGAAAACTCAATATAATTCATTGCCTTTGTGCAAAACGTCCATACATATTGATAGACTCTAAACTCATAATAATCCTAGGACTCAAACTGTTGGACTCATAATAGTCATAGGAGTCAAACTGTTAGACTCAATAATCCTAGTGGGACTCAAACTAAGCTGTTATATCCTATTTCAATTCAAAGAAGACTCAATAACTCTAATCCTACTTAATGCAATGACTCTGAAATTTTAAATATAAACAAACTATAACTAGACAAATTAAACCCTATCATTGGACCCCACAGAAAATTGCAAAATGACAAAAATACCCTTGGTGTTCAATTCAGTCCAAATCCCAAGTACCATCACTATGCCATATTAGGACCTGTTGTAAGGCCTTCTTTCTAGAATAAGTCTTCAAGGGTGCTGATCGATTCCTATCATCTCTCCCTGGCTTGACAGGACTCGACCCCAGCGAGTTAAAAGCATGGTACCTTTCATAAAGATCTGGGTTGAGACGATGAAAGTCTTCAGCAGTGATCCAAGAACTCTCAGACATAGGCTTGCCTTTCCACTTGACAAGGAATTTCTGATACCCTCCTGTAGCAGTAGATATTATTTCCTCATCTAATACATCCACTGAAATGCCATTTGGATCTGCAATAGCTGGCAATTTAGGTATAGGAGTCTTAAAAGAATCCACATGTCCATGGTAAGGAGTCAAGTCCTCAACATTGAAGATAGGACTAATTCCCATGTCATCTGGCAACTCTAGAACATAGGCATTAGAACTTATCTTCTTGATGATTTTGTAAGGACCGACACTCTTTGAGTGGAACTTCTTGTACACATCTTTAGGAAGACATTCTGGCCATATACGTACCATAACCATGTCTCTCTCTTGATAATTTGCCAACTGTCAATGAATATCAGCTCTAAACTTGTATAAATCATTGCTCAATGCAATTTTTCTCTTAACATCATCATGTATCTCTCTTATGTGCCTAGCAAATGCTTCTGCTTCAATGCTAGTACGTGTATCTGGTGGTAAGTAAGGTAACCAAGTCAATGAGCCACTCAAGCTGAATACCAGTCACCACTTCAAATGGACTTCTTTCTGTGGATCTATTTACTGAGCTATTATAAGCAAACTCAGCTATTGGAAGCACTAGATCCCATCTAGAAGTGTGATCACCAACTAGACACCGTAAAAGATCTCTCAAACTTCTATTTACTACCTCAGTCTGACCACCTGTTTGGGGGTGAAATGATGTAGAGAATTTCAGCTGAGTATTGAGAAATTTTCAAAGTGTCTTCCAAAAATAACTCATAAACTAGGTGTTCCAATCTAATACAATAGTAGAAGGTACTCCATGAAGTTGAACCACTTCTTTGAAAAATATAGTAGCAATATGTGAAGCATCATGTGTTTTGTTGCAAGGTAAGAAATGAGCCATCTTGGAGAAATGATCCACCACAACATAGATTGTATCGTGACCCCTAACAGTCTTGGGCAATCCAAGGACAAAATCCACGAATAGATATTGCCATGGTTCATGAGGAATAGGTAGGGGTGTATATAGCCCAGTGTTCTGCTTCCATCCTTTGGCAAGTTGGCATGTCCTGCATTGCTTTATTATACGAGCAACATCATTCTTCAAACTAGGCCAATAAAACCTATCTTCTACCATAGTAGCAATATGTGAAGCATCGTGTGTTTTGTTGCAAGGTAAGAAATGAGCCATCTTGGAGAAACGATCCACCACAACATAGATTGTATCGTGACCCCTAGCAGTCTTGGGCAATCCAAGGACAAAATCCATGAATAGATCTTGCCATGGTTCATGAGGAATAGATAGGGGTGTATATAGCCCAGTGTTCTGCTTTCATCCTTTGGAAAGTTGGCATGTCCCACGTTGCTTTATTATACGAGCAACATCATTCTTAAAACTAGGCCAATAAAACCTATCTTCTACCATAGCAATGGTCTTATCTCTACCAAAATTACCTACTACACCTCCAGCATGTAACTCCCAAATAACAAAGTCCCATAAAGTGGTATTTGGTAGGCATAGGCAGGTATCATAAAACAGATAACCATTATGCAGTAAAAAGGAAGGATACTCACCTTGCTTCTCAGCTTGTAAGTCAATATAGATGATGCTAAAATCCTTACAACCAATATAGTCTTGCTTTAGTTGATCAAAACCAATGACTTGGACATTCATGGAATGAAGTATGTAAGCCATCCGACTTAGCGCATCTGCCACTTTACTCTCATTCTAGCTTGGTGCTTAAGAACAAAGGTATATTCTTGTAGGAATGAAACCCACTTCCCATGCCTATAGTTTAGTTTCTTTTGGGAATTCAAGTACTTTAAAGCTTCATGATCTGAATAGAGCACAAACTCCTTGGATATTAAGTAATGTCACTAATGTCGTAGAACTTGCACTATTGCATATAACTCCTTGTCGTAAGTGGAATATTTCTGCTTGGCTTCATTTAGTTTCTCACTATGAAATGCAATGGGATGGCTTTCTTGCATGAGAACTAGAGGTGTAAAACGGGCCTGCGGGCCGTGCTGTGCCAGCTAGATGGTCGTCCTGCGCTGTA